TTTCAAGTAGGTTCAGTTCAGTTCAACTCTCTTTACTCAATCTCATACACAATCGTCACCAATCAGTCTTTCGATAGTAACACATTACTCACAAATCACCAGTGAATCACGATGTTCACTCAGTCATTTCCTCATCACATTCACCACACAAATCGTAGATTAATCGATAGAAAGAACTCGCCTGTATGAGATGATTGTGAGGTAACGCTTGCAAAAACTCCATACTATCATGCAGTCAATTGGAAGAGCGGATGATTACACATGTGCCTCGTATTATCTCATGCTATTCAGATTGAGAAATTATGTGATCATTCATGTGCACAAATTACTAGCTTACAATAAATCAGAAATAGTCAATCAACTGTAAAACATGAGAGGGAACATTCGTGGTGCAAATTCGAGTGACAGGTTGACGATGAATTTGTCACATTTTCATACAGTCGAGCAATTCGCAGTGTCACATTTAGGTCATTTAATTGATATTGAAATACAGTGTATTGGATGCATTATTTTGATGTGTGTAGTGGGAACTGGTGAACAAATGTCACTGTAGACGTGAGTGGAAATCGATCAGAGGAAGGATTACACTGATCTCACAGTTTTAATAGGAGATTCTAACATGATTCGAAAAGGTCATTCAACTAGGTTTCTTAATTGTCGATACAATCGCACAAAGGTATGAAAGATAACTTCCATTGGCCTAGATTGTCGTCCATGCTTCCACGAAATTGAAAGTAGTGATATCACTTCTGTCTTGAACTACTGATCATACTTGCATTCATCTAATCACCTGTTGCATATATTCACAACAGTTCGTATCGAAATATTTTCAGAATAATCAATGAATAACATAAACATCAATATGCATTACATTCATTCTGTAACCTATCCACATATTCTCACTTTATTACACACCGTTTCATATCTCATGTTTAGGTTGGGGTAACCAAGCGTTCAGTGGAGGAAACTACTTCTTCTGGATACCAATAGCTGGACCGTATATTGGTGCTGTCATCGGTGCAGTCTTATACGAATTGACTATCGGTATACATTTGGATAGGAAATCCGACTTCGTTGTGGACTTTGATTATGAAGAATCACAACGTGATAGTAAGAAGTTGATGGCCTCCGCATCACCGTAATCGTTGACAACCAGACGAAATGCTCCCTCGTCCTTCTACTCTTACACGCACACACTCACAAACATACACTTCTATTACCGTTGATGCATAACAACCATTTTCACTGTTTTCATCATTCAGATTTTATAAATATATAACATTGTAAAATAGTCTGTTGATTTACGTTTCATCCACATCACTTGATCATTCGATGTGAACATCTATGTTAAAATGTCAGATATGCAAATGCACAATTCATATTCTCAATAAAATCGAAAATACACATTGTTAAATGCACTGAAATTATTTGTGTGTTGTGTTTTTTTTTTGGTACTCTTACCGAAACACTCTATCTCAGGACATTCTTCACATGAAACACGTTCACATCTCAGTGGAAGTTATGAGGAATATAATATTGGTTTAATCAATTTTGTGCATTCTTACTTTAGACCGAATCCCGTTTATAACTAAACTGACAACTCTTACTTACTTACTTACTTACTTACGCCTGTTTCTCTTCGTGATGGAGCATAGGCCGACCACCAGCATTCTACATCCAACCTCATTATGGGCAATCCTTTACAGCTCTTTACAATTGTTGTTTGTCCTTTTGTTATCTGCTTACATGTGTTCTTTGGCATTCCTCTTTTCCGTTTCCCTTAAGGATTCCAAGTCAGGTCTTGGATCTTGATGAAGTTTAATGATTTCCATGATGTATGTTCTATCCATTTCCATCATCTTTTCTTAATTCCTCTTCAGCCGGAACATGGTTTGTTCTCTCTCACAGTGGGTTGTTGCTGTTGGTATCAGGCCAATGGATATTGAGTTTGTCGCGTAGAAAACTATTTATAAATACTTGTACATTCTTGATGATGGTTGCATTAGTTTTACACGTTTCAGCTCCACACAGTAGAACTAACTGTCTTGACATTCGTATTGAAGATTGTGACATTGATATTGGTTGATAGTTGTTTTGAGTTCCATATGTTCTTCAGTTGTCGGAATGCTGTCCTTGCATTGCCAATCCTCACCTTTACGTCTGCATCTGAACCTCCTTGTTCATTGATGATGCTTATAAATAATCATCTAAAATTCTAAAGCCAATTATCCATCAAATGTAGAAGACGGTTACATAGTTCGTTACTAAGGTTTGCCCATGTAAACACAAGTCACTTAACTGAAAAAAAAATTGTTACTTGGGAATGAAATACTAATTATTCATTCTATTCTACTCTCTCTACTCTTTAAACCATATGTTCGATACTTCATTTATACATCCTCTATTATTTATCTTAAATTTTATTGTATCTTCATTACCATAACAATTACTTTCTGTTTCCATTCTATACGATTTAATCTTCGAAACATTCTGTTGTTAGGGATTCCACTTCTGATTAGTGTTATGTACTACTGATGTCGATATAAGTAGCATATACCACAGTATGACAAGTGAAGATAGTTAATTTTAAACTATAGTTTCTTAGTATTGTGAGTTTATTGAAATAGGATCTTATGTGAATTATTAAATTTTTACACAAATAGTTAAATGGAATTATAGTTTATTTCAAGAAATCTGAATGTGTAGTTATTGATCATTTGAATTGTGGAAGGTGAACAGTCATACAAGAAGCTTTGGTTAACAAGTTGTAATGAAACCAACGCTTTAAGTGACTTTACACTATGTACCCTTTATTGAGTCATTATATAGTTGAAGGAAGTTGGAGAATACTTTAATTCACCTACGTTTCGTGATAGTTGAGATTCATCAATTGTCTGAGAGGTTCGAAGCCATAGTCACAGTCTGAGACGTTGATACTTTAGCTGTGAAAGAAATGATACTCTTCAGAATTGCAGTGTTTACAAAAAATTAATCATTGATAAGTGACCAATGACATGTTTATTTAGTACAAGGTGCTGATCGAATCTGATGGATAAACTTTCAGTTAGTTGATCATTCTATCATTATTCTATCCACAACATCAGTGAATGTTATGAGCACACAGTTCACTCAACTAGTCATATCTATTCATTTCAAATAGTTTACAAATGTTAATTGTAATGATGAGAGCGTTTTATGAGCTGAACAATTGTTTGTGTTTCTCCAACACTTAACAATTCTCTAGTTTGCAATCTGTGAACGTTCACCAGATTGTGTAACAAAACACACGCACACAAACTTGTAGTGAGTGATATATTTGATTCGGATTCGGATATGTGAAAATAGTACTTATTCAAGTACTGGTTACGATGCCTCGCAAATTTATGTGATGATGCATATTCGAAATAATCTTATTCGATTGATGACGAATGTTCAGTAGAACTGGATCACTTCGTCTAATCATTTATTGAATACTTCCCTATCCCATATTCTTCAGTTCTCACATTCATTCTACGATCTGTCAATCTCATGTAACATGTGGTCAATCAACTAAACGATTTGAAATCAATGTTAAGTGAGTTACTAAACAACCAGCCTACATATGATCAGATATCTGTTTCCAGTTTATACTAGTACATTGTTATTACACATCTGAGTTGTTTGTAATGTTTTGTGGTTGATTGTGCTTTGTGATACGATTGCGATTAAGTGAAAGTGTTTTACCGAAAGATAAACACAGATGCAGAAAACCTCATCATCCTTACTAATACCTAAACACCCTTATTTTGAATGAGTATCAAATGGATAATATTGTATTAATGTAACTGAACTCTCTCCACTTCAATTGATGTCTTTCAATGATGATAAATGTGTGAATATTTATTCTTCTCTTGAACTATGTAACTCTGCAATCGTGTGAATTGAATGAGTGATCATGTGTGTAACTGGTACTGATAAGTTTAGTGTAAGTCGAAACAAGTGAGACCGAGGTCACATCGTTCTATTAAGTACATGAATAGATCACTAATTAGTGAGTATTTTTCCATCCATCAATGTCTCACGAAAGTTGTGAATCATTTCGAACAGATCATCAAACATGTCAATGTGTCTAAACATTCGAATTTCATAACAACATTATCATCATCATCATCATCAACAACAACAACAAGAAGGGGAATTTAGCTTCATCATTTACTTTGGTTCGGTCAACTATGTATAAATAATCGTCATTTCAAAATCATGTTGGATTTATGTTTAATTTGATACAGAATTATTGATACACAGGCCGTAATTCGATCAACTCTGTTACTGAACATAACAGCATTGGCTGATGTTAAATGCCTCGTTGTGGAGACATATTAGTTGAATGGTATAAATACACAATGTACTTGAAGACGTCAATAAAGTAATGAGTGTAGTGTAGTATAGTGTAGTGTAGTGTAGTTAAGGAGACAAAGAATGTCGAGGTATAGTTAAAGCATGAGTGAAGTAAGCCATTCAATAATGAGACAATGATCAAATTGTCGTCAGTCAGCTAGTCAGTCATAAATGACGTAAAGAATGAACAATTTTCAACAAATCAACTAACACAGCAATAATTCGATCATCAGAAACGAGTCCAGGTTTTGCTACATCCGTGTGGTCAATCCCATACATCCTGTATTCTCTTTATGTAATGGCGATGAATAGATGTGACATATTGCCTTCTGTTTAACTGAATATTGACCATTACACAACATCTGTGAATGTTATGAGTACTCAGTTCACTCAAGTAGTCATATCTGTTCATTTCAAACAACTTACAAATGTTAATTGTAATGATGACAGCGTTTTATGAGCAGAACAATTGTACGTGTTTGTCAAATATTTCACAATACTCTAATCAGTAATCTGTGAACTTTATACCAGATTATGTAGCAAAAGACATTGTGGATTTATACTGATCCTAGTTGTCAGCTTAGCTATAAACGGGATTCGGTCTAAAGTAAGAATGCACAAAATTGATTAAACCAATATTATATTCCTCATAACTTCCACTGAGATGTCAACGTGTTCCATGTGAAGAATGTCCTGAGATAGAGTGTTTCGGTAAGAGTACCAAAAAAAAACACAACACACAAATAATTTCAGTGCATTTAACAATGTGTATTTTCGATTTTATTGAGAATATGAATTGTGCATTTGCATATCTGATATTTTAGCATAGATGTTCACATCGAATGATCAAGTGATGTGGATGAAACGTAAATCAACAGACTATTTTACAATGTTATATATTTAGAAAATCTGAATGATGAAAACAGTGAAAATGGTTGTTATGCATCAACGGTAATAGAAGTGTATGTTTGTGAGTGTGTGCGTGTAAGAGTAGAAGGACGAGGGAGCATTTCGTCTGGTTGTCAACGATTACGGTGATGCGGAGGCCATCAACTTCTTACTATCACGTTGTGATTCTTCATAATCAAAGTCCACAACGAAGTCGGATTTCCTATCCAAATGTATACCGATAGTCAATTCGTATAAGACTGCACCGATGACAGCACCAATATACGGTCCAGCTATTGGTATCCAGAAGAAGTAGTTTCCTCCACTGAACGCTTGGTTACCCCAACCTAAACATGAGATATGAAACGGTGTGTAATAAAGTGAGAATATGTGGATAGGTTACAGAATGAATGTAATGCATATTGATGTTTATGTTATTCATTGATTATTCTGAAAATATTTCGATACGAACTGTTGTAAATATATGCAACAGGTGATTAGATGAATGCAAGTAGTAGCATAAAGCAAGTTATGATCAGTAGTTCACGACAGAAGTGACATCACTACTTTCAGTTTCGTGGAAGCATGGACGACAATCTAGGCCAATGGAAGTTATCTTTCATACCTTTGTGCGATTGTATCGACAATTAAGAAAACTAGTTGAATGACCTTTTCGAATCATGTTAGAATCTCCTATTAAAAGTGTGAGATCAGTGTAATCCTTCCTCTGATCGATTTCCACTCACGTCTACAGTGACATTTGATCACCAGTTCCCACTACACACATCAACATAATGCATCCAATACACTGTATTTCAATATCAATTAAATGACCTAAATGTGACACTGCGAATTGTTCGACTGTATGTAAATGTGACAAATTCATCGTCAACCTGTCACTCGAATTGGCACCACGAATGTTCCCTCTCACGTTTTACAGTTGATTGACTATTTCTGATTTATTGTAAGCTAGTAATTTGTGCACATGAATGATCACATAATTTCTTAATCTGAATAGCATGAGATAATGCGAGGCACATGTGTAATCATCCGCTCTTCCAATTGACACATCGTGTGTGGGTGAGAATGATGTGTGCTGAATAGATCGTTCAGTGTATGCATCAGTATCATTGTTCAACTAGACAGGGTCTATGTGGTGGTCAAGCAGTCTGAAACTGCATGATAGTATTGAGTTTTTGCAAGCGTTACCTCACAATAATCTCATACAGTCGAGTTCTTTCTATCGATTAATCTACGATTTGTGTGGTGAATGTGATGAGGAAATGACTGAGTGAACATCGTGATTCACTGGTGATTTGTGAGTAATGTGTTACTATCGAAAGACTGATTGGTGACGATTGTGTATGAGATTGAGTACAGAGAGTTGAACTAAACTGAACCTACTTGAAACAAAGTGAACATACAATACATGTTGAGTTACATCGCTTGTTGATGCTTTGTAACAATGTATGACAAACAAATCTACTCACTGTCGAGTACATGTACTGATGTTGTATTTATATGAGAATTTCCCATTCACGTTACAATAGAATTCCTGTTTGAACTGTGATGAATGATGACCAGGGTAGATTTGAGGCTACGAACTGAAGAGAATGCTTGTTGTGATGACATTGAATATGGTTGATGATGGTGATCATCCTCATCATCATCCTCATCATCATCCTCCTCATCATCATCCTCATCGTCATCAGTCAATTTCACACCCACTCTCATCGAACACATCGTGGATGATGTAAATCTATAAGATTTCTAATCATGTGGTAGACTGAAACAATGTCATTGTGTATGTGATGATCACTGAAATAAACTCATCTATCTAATTGCCATCGGATCAAAATGGTAAACCACAGTGTAGAGTGATTTAGAAACATTGTGAATAATTTAGTTTTGTACTTACTCCCAATGTGACTGAGAATGATAAAGTGAGCTTCCTAATCAAATCACCGAATACATATCCTATTGTTACATTGAGAGAATCTACTTGGTTCAAACAACCATCATTGTTTCGATCAATTTCTACAAAATTGTGTCTAGATTTAGACTTGCTTGTCTATGGAAATGATCAAATCTCTATTCACTCTTTCACTACCTACCCATTAAACACTAATGTTTGAAATACATATGGGTGTAAAATATTTGATGACATTGAAGTGTTCATTTGTATGATAATGACAGTAATAACCAGTGATAACCTCACTGTGGATTGAACTGTCATCCACAAAGATTTATTTTGGAAGTGACTGATCAACTCACCGTTCTAACAAACGTCCATATTTGTTGTGAAATGGATGAGTACTTTCCCAATAAATCGTATTATCTCTCCGATTATCGACACAATATTCATATGTGAGTGGGAAGTACTCAGTGATATTAACCAAGTCACGTCACTCTCAGAGTTGACCAAATGTCCACGACTGCATTGATCGATGATCCAATGAGCAACATAATAATAAATCGATCTGTTTTAAAACATGTAAATATGTGAGTGTGGAAAATTCAGTATGAACTATATCAGTGAACATTGTGGTGTTCACTTAAACTAATCACTTGCTTTTCCGACTTAGTACATTATAATGAATTGGTTGGAAACAGTGACTCATCACCAATAATGTTTTTAGTTAAATGTATGTGAAATAGAATTTCCCATCCCCATCAGATCAAGTAATCAAAGCATCCTTTCAATGTAACGTCGATATTCACCAACATTCCACCACCACCAACACACACACACACACTAACCACAATCTTTCCACTTATATCAAGTTTGAAATATTTGAAGTATTTTGACGGAGACATTCTAGCCATACACTGACAAGACGTATATTGATCATGTTCATGTTGAGTTACTTCCCCTGTTGATGCTTTGTAATAATGTGTGACAAACAAATCTACTCACTGTCGAGTACATGTAAGGATGTTGTAATAATATGAGAATCACTGTCGTGAGGACGAATGGTCTAGTGGAATTATCATCAGACTAATGAAATGTGATGTGGGTGTGATGCTGTTGAATAACTTTAACAGAATTATGAATACTACATCTGAATCAGTTCCCAATGATAACGACAATCAGTTAGTTATGTTTGAACGTGCATCAAATCACAAACGATTGTACTTTAGTGATTGATTGATTGATTGAGGCAACCAATAGTAAACTCGTGTAATTGTTATTACTCGTTAGTGAGAATTGAGAGTAAGCGAATAGTATGAATGGGAAATGAACAACTTACCGAATATAAATATCATGAGTCTGGGTCCTAAATCACGAGCTGGATTTAGAGCAGCTCCAGCATTCAATGCGAAACAGCCAACAATAGTGTAGACTAGAAATGCCAAATGTAGTGGGTGTAGGTAGTCTGGAAGTTTCCATCCATTTGGATCGGTGATGGCGAACGCTCCTGCTGTCAACAATGCAGTGCCGAGAATTTGATCGAGAAAGCATGTAAGATGAGATGCCGACGGATTGGTGACGAATATGCCACCTGTGGAATTCACCAACAACTTCCCATTGTCATATAGGTTGGCATATTCCATGATTTTTTCACGATATAAGACGAAGACAACCAATGAACCGAGGAACGCACCGAGTATTTGAAAGAATGTATAAAACGGTATACGTCGGAATGGCAGTTTGCCGACGACTGCAGATGCCAAAGTTACGGCCGGGTTACAGTGTCCAGAACCACACTGTCCTGAGAACATTACTGCCATGTACACTGCGAAACCCCACCCCATACTGATTGAGATGAATGTTCCATGAGCATGTCTGCCATGGTCACCCAGGATCACTTGTGCTAGCACACCACTACCGAAGATCATCAAAATAATTGAACCCATGAATTCGCCTAAACATGCACGCACCAATGGACTTGAAGTTAATCGTAGACGATCAGCGATAATATGCTGTTTGTTGGCATATTTTTCTGCACACGAAACCATATTTCTTCTACGACTGGCTTTTCGATAACTGCGTGTCGATTGAATTGTTACTGCCAGAATTATTTATCAATGGGAATTGTCTGTCTCTATTGTGTTCGGATAACTCACTGACAATTAACTGTATGATAAATGTTTCTGTGTTGATGATGGACTGTTGATTGTGTTGTTATTGCTGTGTTTATTTTGATATTGAATGAAGCTGTGAGTTAAGCGGTAGATAGTTGCAGTGAATTAGAGATTGTTTGTGGATAATGTGCTCGAGATGGCGTGATGGGTAACCTATATACACTGTATCCTTTATATTGTTTTTCTACTTACTCACACACGCACACACGCACACACACACATGCACGTGTATTCACGAACATACATTGGTAGAAGCATACGCTTGCACGTACACATACACTCACACGTGCATTCGTAATAATTAGTTTGCATAATAGCATTCACAGAAAGCAACATACTTGATGTGTCAATCACAAGATTGATGGATTGATTTGCCTCCATGTAATTCATGTATGAGTGTATTCTCCTTCTTAAGCAACAGTAATAAGAGTAGTAGTAGTAGTAGTAGTATTGGTGAAATTTCTTTCGATGTATGCAAGTAATAAACTGATGTCTGTTTGATTGTTGGTCTATGTGTTTGTTTACTTATTGGAAAGAAGACTCTTTCTCGCCTGTTTTTCCATGGTAATATACATGTCTTATATGATCACTGGTTATCGAGTAAGTCACTTTAGAATCTGAATAATTTGTTAATATGTTTCACATGATCACACGAATTCCTATCAACAATTCATGTTAGTTACATCCTATTAATAAACTGTAAACGTTATAATATTCAGTGTAATACAGTAGTTAATTAATCAATACCGTTTTCCACAATATTCTTTCATGTGTGTTCATGAGTGATAGTGTAGTGAATGAGAGCACAATTGGGAACAATTGTGAATGTATATGAATACACATATTACAGAACATCATAATAAAGTTTGAGAACTAAACAGTAAATACTTCATTAGTAAAATATCAATCAATTGTTTCAGACTTTGTTTTTCTTTCGTTTCCATATCAATCATTGTTTGTTCTTGTTGTCTTCTTTTTGGTTTTCTTAACCTTCTGCCCCTAGGTATTCCACTTTTGATTGATGATTACTTATCTACTTACTCTTGTTACTGCTCGTTGAAGGGAATATGCCAACCACCAGCACTCTCCGTCCTACCTTGCCATGGGCAATCCTTCCCAGCTCCTTCCAGTTTTTAATCGTGCTTTTTATATTTGTTTCTTTTTCTCGACGTAATGTGTTCATTAGCCTTCCTCTTTTCCGCTTCCCTCCAGAATTCCTACTTACATCTTGCCTCGTGATGCAGTTTAGCGATTTCCGTAATGTATGCCCTATCCATTTCCATCATTTCTTCTTAATTTCCTCTTCAGCTGAAAGTTTGTTCTCTCCCATGGAAGGCTTTTGCTGATGATATCCGGCCAATGGATGTTGAGTATGTTGCGTAGACAACTATTTCTAAATACTTATACATTCTTGATGATGGTTGTTGTAGTTCTCCAAGTTTCAGCGCCGTCTACTAGAACAGTCGTGAAGATTTTTATTGAATATTGTGACTTCGATTGTTGTTGACAGGCAGTTGTTTTGAGTTCCATATGTTCTTCAGTTGTCGGAATGCTGTTCTAGCTTTGCCAATCCTCACCTTTACTTCTGCTTCAGATCCTCCTTCTTCATCGATGATGCTACCTAAATACATGACAGTTTCCACCTCTTCCAGAGCTTCTCCATGAAGTGTGATTTGGTTGGTGTTCCCTATGTTTTATTTGAAGATCTTGGTTTTTCTCTTGTGTATGTTGAGGCCTACTGATATAGAGGATTCTGTTACACCGGTCCTGCTGACCAACACTCGTGTGGTATGTATGGGATGGTGGAGTTAGGTGATCTGTGAATTCCAAATCGTCTAGTTGCATGCATTCTGTTCATCGTATTCGGTGCTTCACGTCAGGTAAGGGGCTCTACACAATGCAATCGACTACCAAAAGAAGGAGAAATTGGGTGAGTGGGCAGCCTTTTCTGATTTCAGTCCTCAGTTAAACTGCGTTTCTCAGAAGTCCTCCATACACAACTCTGAAGTGTAGTCCGTCGAATAAATTCTGTATGATGTTGACGAATTTTTCAGTTACTCACTCTATTCTGCAGAAGGAGTTTCCATATGGTTCTCCTATCCATATAGTCAAACGCTTTCTCGTAGTCAATGAAGTCGATGTGTAGTGACGAGTTCCACCAAACTGCTTGTTCAACGATAACTGTTAGTGTCGCAATTTGGTCTGTGCATGACCGGTCCTTACGGAATCCAGCCTGCCGATCTCGAAGTTGAGCGTCTACTGAGTCTTTCATCCGGTTCAGCAACACTCTGTTAAAGACTTTCCCTGGTACTGACAGTAGTATGATACCTCTGTAGTTCTCACATTTGCTCAGATATCTTTTCCTTGGTATCTTGATGAGTTGTCCTTTTTTCCAGTCTGTCGGTAGCATTTTTCCCTTCTCCCAAATCTTCCTGAATCGAACAAGGAGCATGTTTGTAGTTGTTTCTATGCCTGACTTCAGTGCTTCAGTTGGTAAATTATCAGGTCCCTATACTTTCCCACTGTTTATCTGTCTGATGAACATGCTGATTATTCCGATCGTTGGTGGTGTGACAGAGATGAGATGTGTGTGCTGCTTTGATGTCCAGTGGGTTCGGTAGGGCCAATCTATTCAGTAGTTTCTCAAAGTGCTCTACATATAGGTACCTATGTTTTTGAATCTCAATGATTAGCTTTTCTTCTTTATCCTTGAACATTTTCTCTGTTTATTACATTTCCCTGACAGTTACTTCGTCATTTCACATATCTGCCTCATATTTTTTTCTCTTTTAGCTTTTTCCTCTACGGTTCCTAGGTCTTCTGCTTGTCAGCTCTAATCCTCTTCTTCAATTGCTTTTTTGCTTCTGTGTATTTAGTTTGTGACTTGACTTTTTGTGTTCTTCTTTAAATGTTGTTAATTGTTGTCTTCTTGTCCTGCCTTTCTTAAATATTTTCCAGGGTTTTCATAGAGATCGATTCCCTTTCACGATGCCTGTTGCAGCCAAGAACATCCTAACACAATGAAGTCTATATTTTATCGATCCATTTCCAGTTGTCCTCCATATTAGTTTCTTATTCATTGAGTAGATCCTCTAAGGCTCATAGCCTACTGTTGAGAGTTATCATGAATTCATTGCGTTTTTGTGTATATATATCTATTTATATAATCAACTCCAATCGTTCTCTTCAATTCATTCACACTACACAATAAATAAACAAAAAAATTAAAAAGTACATTCAACATTCATTCAAATCTCTAATAATAATAATAATAATAATAATAATGACGACAATATCCATGGAACATTCAAGTAAACCATTTCCAATGGATGATAACATCTCATTGTTTCATTACATTCTATCATTTCATCATTAATCTCTACTCATTCTATCATACTCCTCTTAGTGTATTCAACTTGATGTAAATGATTAATTATTCAGATGTGAATAGATTACTCACTTGTTTGTTGGTTATTCATTCTCACTAAAATTATTCCATTGACTATATTGACATTCATCACTCTGTACACTGAGTGAATTCCATTGAAATCTGATTCATTCAACGGATGATCAAAACTACAATCCTTCCTATTCCATATTCAACTAACTGTGATTGACTAAATGATAGACAAAAATAAATTTCTGTTACTACTATTATTATTATCATTATACATTGTATACAAGTGGATTTCCCTCAAGGTTATTTCAAATAATCAATACATACTGACTGCTTCAAGGTCAGTTAATTACAATTCTTAACAGATGGGAACAATTTAACAAATACACAACCTCTTCTTCTACTTCTTCATTTTCTTCTTCTTCGTCGTCGTCTTCTTCTTCTTCTTCCAATTTTCCTTCTCCTTCTTCCACTTCTTCTTCCAATTTTACTTCTACTTCTACTTCATACAAATAGATATGATGTAATTGTAATGTGAAATGATGATAAAATGAGACAGTCAAATGATTTGAGTAATTAAACACACTTGAAATATTTATTGAAATGTAATAATGTGAAATATTTAATAAAGTAAATGTGATCATGTGAATAACATATCATGGAACAAATATTTCTTACTTTATAATGAAGTAAAACTCAGGTTCTTAGATTTCAAAAAAACATGTTTTCATTCATTTGTAAACCATCCATCAAAGGAACTTTCATCATCTAACAGTGAAATGTGTCTTTATATTTCTTGTTATTATGAAATATTCATATTGGTTTAATACTCATCAATGTACAATAAGTATATTCAGAGAGGAATCATTATAGATAAGGTCGACGTCAGCTCTAATCACAATATATAACATGAAATAATCTAATTTATGATATGATCAAATATTCAAGATGTAGTAAAGTGTGAATAAGGAATGATAAATAAACTTGATTTACAATGGTTTTACAATAATTTACAGGAAGCAACTGATTCAAGTGATCGTCTGTTTGATTATCTTCTTCAGTTAGACTATTTGAATGTCTGCTGTAGGATATCGAATTAACTGATTTACTTGAATAACGTAATTATGGAATCATTCGATTGTTATTCACATGATCATTTCAATAAATATTTCAAGTGTGTTTAATTACTCAAATCATTTGACTGTCTCATTCTATCATCATTTCACATTACAATTACATCATATCTATTTGTATGAAGTAGAAGTCAAAGATGAAGGAGAAGTAAAATTGGAAGAAGAAGTGGAAGAAGGAGAAGGAAAATTGGAAGAAGAAGAAAGTGAAGAAGTAGAAGAAGAGGTTGTGTATTTGTTAAATTGTTCCCATCTGTTAAGAATTGTAATTAACTGACCTTGAAGCAGTCAGTATGTATTGATTATTTGAAATAACCTTGAGGGAAATCCACTTGTATACAATGTATAATAATAATAATAATAGTAGTAACAGAAATTTATTTTTGTCTATCATTTAGTCAATCACAGTTAGTTGAATATGGAATAGGAAGGATTGTAGTTTTGATCATCCGTTGAATGAATCAGATTTCAATGGAATTCACTCAGTGTACAGAGTGATGAATGTCAATATAGTCAATGGAATAATTTTAGTGAGAATGAATAACCAACAAACAAGTGAGTAATCTATTCACATCTGAATAAATAATCATTTACATCAAGTTGAATACACTAAGAGGAGGATGATAGAATGAGTAGAGATTAATGATGAAATGATAGAATGTAATGAAACAATGAGATGTTATCATCCATTGGAAATGGTTTACTTGAAT